GTATATCTATTAACTTCTCCATCTTGTTGGTGGTGGGATTATACAATACTAATTCAGCTCCCGCCCAAATACACAAGATCTTTCCATCTTTATATATTTTAATCTGTTCCACTGTCGATTTTGAGAAAAAAGTATATTTTTATTGACATTTGGTACGATGACACTAAATGCTTTAATCCACGAACCATTTTCTTTCATCTTCCACACCCTATACTCATATTCCTCCATAGAAAGAGTTAAATGAACGGCACCGTTAAATATTCCAATACAAGGAAAAGGAATCTGCTTGTATTTCTCATCTTCCATATTTAGACGATAAATGACATCCGGACCAAGATTATTTTGTCCAATCCAATGCAGCCCTCCGTTAAAGTAAACACCATGACATCCATTAAAAGAACAAGTCAGTGACTCAATATGCGTCCATTCCGGCTGGGTCCCAAAGGAAAAAATCTCTGTTTTGTAGTTATGGACGATGGAGTTTCTATCACGAACAGTAGAGCTTCTTACTACTTTGTATTGCTTTGTTTTCGGACAAAATTCAAATTCATAGAAGCAAGTAAACCAATTCCCTTTGAATTCATCTTTGGGGAGTTCGAAGTACTCATTCGTCTTGGGATTTAATATCACGACACTATTCGGGCTAAGCCAGCTATTTGTCTTTTTAATGACCACGAAAGCCAAGAGTCCATTGCACGAATTGATAGTTGAGATAAAAGAACAATTAAAATACTTACGCTTCAAGTTAAATGAAGCAACACTCCTCACCCCTTCCAAGTGGTCGGGATCCAATTCCAAGCAATGGAGATTACGAAAGCGATAAGAATTGGGATGATCACGGTTTTCTGAATAAACATGTGCAAGGTAGAAGTTGGAAGCCGCCGAGATTGAAGAGTGATGCTTAGAACTTAAGATCACATTGTTCCAGGTTTTGCAGACCAGCCTACAACTCGACAAACAATAAGGAGTTTGCTGACTATTAGGTCAATGACATCAAGTACGAGTTTGGAAATTTGGTTCCTTGAGCATGAGCCATCCTAGTCGAGAGTTGTTGGTTAGTGAATTTAATTGGACTAAAGAAGAAGGAAAGCTATCTCGAATTCATAATGTTTTATGTATTTATAATTTAAAAAAACTAAAAAAAAATCTAATATTTTCTATTTTAAAAACTAATCTTTTCTTATTTAGAATTCTCTCATAAAATAATTTAAGGAAGTTGAAGTAATTTAAAACATTTTAATTTGATTTTTTTTATTTAAAAAAAAATAAATATGGTTTTTTTAAAGGTTATAATTTATTTTAGTCAAATTTACTATTTTAATGAAATTTTAATTTAAATCTTAATTTAATTTTTAAAATTAGGTTTCAAGAATATATATATATATATATATATATATATATATATATATATATTATTATTATTATTTAAAAAATTAACTAATATAAATTGGGGCGCATCACTCACATTAATTACAAACGTCAAATATTTTAAATATATTTAATAATAAAATTTAATCAAATATTTTACGATTATATTTGATTTAAAATTTTAAAAATTTATTAAACTTTCGTAATTTAAGAATATATTAAAGGTAGTTTGTTTAAATAAAATAATATATGAGAATAAGATATTTAAAAATTAATTAAAAACCAAATAAGAATCAAAATTTTAGATTATTTTTTGTTCAAATATTTATAATATTTTTGTTATACTATTTAATTTCAGACCATTAGTTGTTAATTATTTATTTTTTATTATATTAATTTATTAAAATAAATTAATTAATTTTTTTAAAAATAAATATATTATAAATAATATCATTAAGTTTTTGAGTTTATTTATATGGTAATAGTTAAAATAGTATTTTTCTTAGATTTTTTTTTTATTTGAACAAATTTTTAATAAAAATAAAATTTGTTATTTTATTTATTATAATAGAATTATTATCTTAATTATTTGGAGTGTATTGTGGCCATTATAAATTTAATTTAAACTTATTTATAAAAAGAAAAAATTAATTAAAAATGGTTTGTATAAGAAAACAAATATACATATATTTTGAGTGAGGATTACTCATATACCAACAAACAATTATAATTAATTTTTAGCTAATTTTATAGAGAATATACTGAATTTTATTTTTGTTAAGCGTTTAACATTTTAATCTTATGATTTTAAAACATACTTGTTGGATGAAAGTCCCACATCGGTTAATTTAGGGAATGGTCATAGGTTTATAATCTAAGAATACACTCTCCATTAGTATGAGGCCTTTTGGGAAGCCCAAAGCAAAGCCATGAGAGCTTATGCTCAAAGTGGACAATATCATACCATTGCCATGCCCTAAACTTAGCCGTGTTAAACTTAGCCGTGTCAATAGATTGACAAATCCTTAAATGTCGAACAAAGGACTCCAAAAGGAGTCAAGCCTCCTCGAAGGTACGAAGGCAGTCAAAAATGACTAAGACTCCAAAGGAGTCGAGCCTCGATTAAGGGGAGGCGTGCTTTGTTCGAGGGGAGGTGTTGGATGATGAAAGTCCCACATCGGTTAATTTAGGGAATGGTCATGGGTTTATAATCTAAGAATACACTCTGGAAGCCCAAAGCAAAGCCATGAGAGCTTATGCTCAAAGTGGACAATATCATACCATTGTGGAGAGTCGTGTTTGTCTAACATGGTATCAGAGCCATGCAGTAAACATCCTTAATAACCAGCACCAGTTGATAGGTTTTTAGGTTGAAATTTAAGCTATAAAACTTCGTAATCAATTATCTTTATATTACCTCGTTATGAAAAATTATATGTTATTAATATAATATTGAACCGTATATAGTCGACATATATGAGAATCACGTTCAAGTAATAGTATATGTATAAGGTTGGTGCCTTATTTTGGTAACACTATTGATACCAATTTGTTGAAAATAAGACTCGCTCTGATACAAATTTATAGAAATAAAAGTTCGCTCTGATATCAATTTGTTAAAACAATACTCATGAAACTGTGAAGGAGATGTCAAGAGGGGAGAGACAAGGAGACGAAGAATTCCGAAAAAACCTTTTTCTATTGGTCTGTGCCTTTTGTTCTCTACACTTTTGCTCTTTTCTTTTTACAATGGAAAACAACCTAATTTACATGTTTTCTAAAGGCTAAAAATGACTATCTCATATGCCATCATTTTCTAGCCCACTATTCCCCGAAAGTTATTGTACTTTCAATTTTCCTTTTCGTCTTTCCTTCAACGACTCAATTTCAAAAAGCCACTAAACTTAACAAAATTAAAACTACATTTTACCATTTAAGTTTATTCCAACAGTAATTTGGGTAATTGTTGATAGATTGACAAAGTCGCCACCATTCATGTTGGGCAAGACGACAATACAATAGACAACTTGGATCAACTGTATGTGAAAGAAATTGTGAGGTTGTATGGAGTTTCAGTGTTGATAGTGTCAGACCGGGATCCGCACTTTATGCCAGCGTTTTAGCATGGAGTCTAGAAAGTATTGGGTACTCGCCTCGACTTCAGTACTGCCTTCCAGCCTCTGACAAATGGTTAAACAGAGCTGTTTAACCAAATTCTAGAAAACATGCTATGAGCATGTGTTATGGATTTTATTGGAAGCTGGGAAACCAAATTACATCTGATGGAATACTTATTATGACGAACCCTACGAACGTGATAGACTATAAACTTATTGAGATCGAAGAAGACTTGAGTTATGAAGAAAACCCGGTAAGAATTTTGGCTCGAGAAGTACAGGTCTTAAGCAATAGGAATATTGGCTTCGTCAAAGTACTTTGGCGGAACCACAAAATAGAGGAAGCTACGTGGGAGCAGAAAGATGAAATAAAGGAAAAGTACCCCGAGCTGATATAAGAGTACGAGACTTTCGAGAACGAAAGTTCTTTTTATGGGTAGATAATGTATCGACCGCCAAAATTCTTGCTTCCAACTTGAAATCATGACTGCGCCTTTCCACGACACTCCAAACCATCACACATCCTTCAGCCACACGCTCCAGATTCACTAAAAGGGAGAAACATAGAGAGAAATGAGAAAGAGAAACCCGAAAGCTTTTCCAGCCAGTGTAATCCGACGAAGAAATATGTGGACAAGTACGAGGGACGACATATGTTATATGACTGTTATGTATGTAGTATGATATGACATGTGCATTATAAGAATTTTTATGTCTGGAAGCATGAAAACGTTATGATATGACATATGTATGTAATATGAATGATATGATATGATATGATCGACATGCAAAACGATGAACTAACATGAAATAGAACCCCGACACACGCATAAAAGATATGATAAACGATATGATAAATGATATGCTAAATGATATGACAAAATGATATGAGATGAAGGAAGATGCTAGTGGGTTGTATTATATGATAATGAAAATAGAAAAATGTTGGGACCTCATGCATTATTGTGTGCTCATGCATCGAGGGACACCCCTTCTCCCTTCACGATAGTACAGACGTGTACGCTACAGGTAGGGAACGATTATTATTTTTACCATAATATTGCTGTGATGGTCGCTATTCCTAACTGGTGTCTAGCATCAATAACTACTAGAGAATGCTCGCCGGACCAAAAAAGGGCCCTATAGGTGTGCGAGCTGACTGGTGGGTCCATACTTCCACTTTTAGATTAAGTAGAAAATTTATGCTCTTATGTGGAGTTAAACATTTAAAACTTCATTATAAAACACTGACATGGACTTACTCGTTCAAAAACATCTTTGAGACAACATAACGAAATACTAAATGAAATAAATAAACCATAAAAGTAAAAACACCCTATCCTAACTTAAAGTCTAAGAAATAAAATAACACTATCATATGCATGTGTCATGGTCTTGATTTGCGGATGCCGTCGTTAACCGTATAGGGATGCTTTGCTTTTACCTGAAATAGAAGTAGCACACGGCTAGTGTGTTTTAAGAAATACTCCGTAAGTGATTCTACTAGTGTAAAAGATGTTAGATGGGTATACTTCATTCTAACGCACACAAATTCTCTCGAATTGCAAACTTTGAGACTTCAAGGATACAAACATGGCGGAATTTCTGTGGACCTTTGCCGTACAGGAAGTGTTGAAGAAGACGGTGAAGCTGGCAGCCGAGCAGATCGGCTTGACATGGGGATTCAAGGAGGAACTCTCAAGGCTGAAGGACTCTTTACTCATGGCGCAAGCCATCCTAAGGGATGTTGACAGAATGAAGACAAACCTTGAATCCGAGAAGCAATGGGTGAAGAAGCTTGAAGAAATCCTCTTCGAAGCTGATATTTTACTCGATGAGCTCGCTTATGAAGACGTTCGACCCAAAGTAGAAATCGAAAAAGATAAGGTGGTATGTAATTTCTTTTCATTCTCCAAAAATCCCAGGGAAGCAGAAGTATCAAACATAGTGGATAACCTACTTGCCCTCAATAACCAAGAAACTTTAGTTGTTTTACCCATTGTTGGTACGGGTGGGTTAGGAAAAACAACTCTGGTGAAGGAGATTTTCCATCATGAAGCGATAAGGAAGAATTTCGATACTTTTATATGGGTATGCGTGTCTGATCCTTTTAAAATCAACAAAATTTTAAGAGCAATCGTGGGATCCTTGAATCCTACATTTGGTGGCTCAGATGTAAAGGAAGTCATTCTTCGGAAGTTCCAAGATCTGCTGAGTGGCAAAAAGTATTTTCTTGTGCTTGATGATGTTTGGAACGAGGAACCCATTCTCTGGAATGAGTTGAGGGCTTGTTTGCTAAAGATCAATAAAAATATAGGAAGTGCTATCGTTGTGACTACTAGAAGTGATAAAGTTGCAAAAATTATGGAGACAAAATACAAACATCATTTGAGACTGTTACTAGATGATCATTGTTGGTCTTTATTTGAAAAATGTGCATTTGAAGGTAAATTACGAGTAACTCCTGATGTCATTCGAGGACAACTTGTTAAAAAATTTGGTGGTATACCATTGTTTGTGAAAGTGTTGGGAGGAATGGTGAAATCATGCAAGAATGACGAGGAATTGCAATCTGAGTTTAGAAAATCTAGTGAGAATTGAATTACCAAAAGAAGATCTTATTTTATTTACAATCAAATGAAGTGTGGACCGTTTACCATCTTCCTCATTGAAACAATGTTTTGCCTACTGTTCAAACTTTCCACAAGACTTCGTCTTCCTTAAAGAAGAACTTGTTCGAATGTGGGTAGCACAAGGGTTTATTCAACTACCCAATGGAAGCAATGCAACGATGGAGGATATTGGAGAGAGATATTTCGATATTTTGTTGTCTCGCTCTTTGTTTCAAGATGTTTTCAAGGATGAGAGAAGAAAAGTTGAATGTACTATTTCAAATGATCAACATTTGAGAGAAGACCTTGTAACAGATGGAAAATCTCATGGTGATGAAGTTCTTTTGATCCGTCGAAGAAGAAGAACAGTTTATTGTTGTGAAAATGTACTATTTGGTAAACAAGTTAAGATCACTAACTTCATCTACTTGCGGGTTTTAATTATTAGTGGTGATTTCGTAACTGAATTGCTTGATACAATTGGTAAATTGCAGACTTTGAAGCTTCCAGAGTTAAACTTTCCTACAAAGTTGAGAAAGTTGGTCAATTTAAGGCATTTAGAAATGGAGATGGGTTATTCACCGACACAAATGCCTAAAAATTTAAGTTGAATGACTCAACTTCAAACGCTTTCTGTTTTTGTAGTTGGGTCAGATGAAGGATATAAGATTGAGGAGCTTGGACCTTTAAAAAATCGTACGTGAGATTTTCATCTCATACGGCTCCCCCTTTATGTGATGCGCATAATGAGATGAGAATAATACATGAAATCAAAAAAGATTGAAATACTCTCATTATGAACTGATGGGACTAGCGTTTTTACAAAAAATCTCTAGCCAACCTTCCTGTAAAAGATCTTTTCTTAACATCAAGCATGTTGTTACTAGATAAAAATAAAAATGGTAACTCTAACAATTTCTTTGTCCTCAACGCCTCTAAATTTCCAGGAATTAGTCACTTCAACAGTCTTCGATGGTTATACAGGTATCCAAAATACAAACGAGATGGATGTTTGTTGTCCCAACCATTTTTCTAAGTTCCGATCCCGATAAGGAAAAGGGATAATTTATAACAAAGTTTTCGTGTTGTTGATTCCTAGGTGTAGTGCTTCTTCCCCTCTGCTACCTATTTTTACTAGTGAATATTTTTACTAGTGGAGTAGGGTTGACTTAATCCATAGGTTACACCTTTCGCTCGATACTAGAATCGACAATTAAAGCATCTGAGGTTACATTAATCGGGGATACACGACAGAAGGAATTTTTTTATTTGAAAATTGCACCTCCAAGAAGCGTAGATTTATTTCAATTATTGTTTTCTTTCTATCCCGAATACTGTGTCTTTCTACTAAGACAGAGAGCGGTAAAGAAAAAAAAAAAAAAAAAATCAAATCGCACCATCTCTGTAATAGGTGAATGCCTCTTTTTCCCCGGAAGTTGTCGGAATTATTCGTAATAAGATATTGGCTACAATTGAAAAGGTCTTATCGATAAAATTTCCATTTATCCCAGATCTAGGCATCGGTAACAACCCCATTTTTTAATTTCTTTTAATTACCTCTCGTGAGAAAATGATCCCACAAACAAAGGAATTGCATAGTACGAAATAACATAAAAACGGATTCATTAAAAAATCCCACTCGATATTCAAATTGTTTCTTTTTGATTTCACAGGAATCAATAAAACATAAGAAATATTTCAATCCGGTGAAATTTCATCCAAATGTAGTAGGATCAGAATGAAGAGAACTATTGCTGATTTCAGCAAAGTTGAAGAAAAAAAGAATTTTCTTTATCTTACAGATTGGGGTAATTCTAGAATTTTTTTGATTGAATTATGATCCATCCAAAGAGCAAAAAGAATCGACTAATTAT